CAGACAACCTCTCGTCAATATGCGTTTTTTGCATTGCATTACTGCAAAAAACGCATAAAAAGTGACTCGTGCCCTACCAATAATAATTGGCCAACGCACGGGCTGCCCGTGTTTTTTGCATAGCTTCCCGCAAATTTTGTTGCTACCGGCATCGGTTTTTCGGCAAATGTTTCTAGCTAGACAACAAATTAAGACTGGCCGCCAGAACTGACAGGAAACACCCCCTTAAAATTTCAGCATTCTAGCTTTCCTGGCTCCTGAGTTAGCAACTTACTGGAAGAAAACTTTCACAGGCCCGCACGCGGATACCACGCATACCCGGTGTCTGGGTTTGAGCTCGTTGGCACTTACTTGGACGGGGAACATCTTAAAACTACAGCCTTTTAGCTTTTCAGGTTTTCGAGTTATGAACTTACCCAAAGGAAGCTGTGGTGAACCCGTGCGTAGGTACCACGCATGATTTTCGCGCCAGGAAGCCTCACGAGGCCATGCGCGGGAACCATGCACACCTGGAGGCCGAATTTGAAACCTTAGAGTTCTATGTACACGAGGGGCATAACCTCAAAATTTCAGCTTTCTAGCTTTCCTGATTCCCGAGTTAACGATTTTCCCGCCAAAACTTTCACCCCTCGTACGCGGGGCCCAGACGTGCATGAGGGTTGGTACTGCGGTCCTGGGGTGCCACCTGGCCGAGGAACCCACCTGCAAAATTTTGGCGCTGGAGCTTACTTGGGTGCCGAGTTGAAATACCCGGACAGACGCACACACACGTACACACACACACATACACACACACCGGGATCGTCACAATATGCGTTTTCGCATTTAAATATATGCAAAAACGCATAAAAACGCGCCCCACTGAAACTGCTTTATAAGATGCTGATAGTTAGCGATTAAAAATGGGGTCATAGAGCCTCAAAAAAGAAAAGTCTAACAGAGCTGCGCTTGGCATATTGCACTGTCTTTGTAGTACCATTGTCTCAACAGCGCTAGTGCCGGCAATTTTGCTAATTTTAGAAGTATTTTATTTAAAACACAGACATACTGTTTATTCTGCGTATTCTGTCCAGTAGTCTTTCAATGTTGTCCAAATTTTCGTCGACCTAAAAAAATTTCCAATGAATTATGCACTGCTTAAAACAATATCGGACAAAACAAAATTCGTTTCTTGAAAATTTAACCCTTTTATTTAGTAAGTATGCGGTCCAGGATCAAAATGTCTGACACATCTGCACTGGCATGTAGGAACATTTCAGTAACATTGATAGGAGCGTCAAGCTGTTTAGGAACAATAAGGATACTAAGATCGCCGAAGAGTGATGAAGGGCAGCCTTAGTACCTAGTAAATTTGATTTACTACAGCAATTAAGTGTCCCAGGTTTGTGAATGCACTTTTTATGGCTATCAAATTCAACCGGAAAAAATAGTGGAATAGCAAAAACCGTTAAATCCGAGGCGATCAGTGCGATGTGTGGATCACGCAAAAACACGCGTGCTTCATCAAAATTGAACCGTACTCCCGAATCTCCGCGGAACAACCTGGCAAACAGCATTGCTTCGCTGCTATCTTCTTCCCCCATCAACGCCTCCTCTTTATCTCGTTGATCCATCCCCTCATTTGTCATGAGTGCCGAAGGAGCGCTTGGCTCAACCACTTATTAGCACTTCTAAAAACTGACTGAAATCAAATTCTTCCTCTCTAAGTATTTATAGGAGAATTCATCATTCTGTTCTCATGAACAAATCACGCATATTCAAGCATCCCTGCGATAAATCGTATGGTCAAGTGGTAGTTAGCAATATTTTCATGCGCCGCTAAAAATTTATTGAAAACTCCCCGCCTACAGTGCAACTAACTCGACTATCATTAAGAAAGCTAATTTCGTTCCGGGCTGTTCACTGATTTCGGGTGTACTGGTACCGATATGTGCAGCGGAGTTGTAACTTGCTTCTTTGAGCTAAAACCCAGGCTGGAACACACCAGGCGGGCCGGTGCGTTTATGTGTTTTTGCACTTTTCGTGCCGTAGCAAGATCGCAACGAATCACAGTAGCTGTGACATACTGGCCCTCGAAGTTCGGGAAGTTAATTTTGCAGCTATGTGGTATGTCAGTTGTAGGTGTCGACTTCAGTGACCCAAGAAATGGAAAGTTACTGGTCCGCAAAAAAAGGCTACACAAGAAGGGATAGGTATAAAATCTTTTAGTCGCACATGAGCAAGAAACATTCTCTTAAAATTAAAGCCTTCAGCCTTTTCCGCTCCTGAATTAGTAGTTTTCCCATTAAAATCTTCACGTGTTCGTACATGAGTACTGAACAGTTTTAAGGAGTTGAATTTAAAATCTTTTGGTCATACATGAGTAGGGAACATTCCCTTAAGATTTCAGCTTTCTAGCTTTTCCCCTTCCCGAGTTAGTAATTTTCGCGCCAAAATTTCCACGCGCTCGTATGTGGGCTCGTGCGCTTCTAAACACCTGATTTTGCTCGAACATGAGTAGGGAACATTCCCTTAAAGTTTCAGCTTTCTAGCTTTTTCCGTTCTCGGGTTAGTGATTTTCACGCCAAAATTTTTACGTGCCCGTGCGTGAGCCCCTGGCGGTCCTAAGGAGCTGAGTTTGAAAACTTTTGGTCGTGCAAAACTTATGGGACATTCCCCCAAAGGTTCAACCTTCTAGCTTTTCTCATTCTCGAGTTATAAATTTTTCCGCCATAATTTTCACGTGCCCGTACGTAAACCCGGGCGCTCCTGGGCAACTGAATTTGAAATCTTATTGTCATACATGGGTAGGGAAAATTCTCCCAAGGTTTCAGCTTTCTAGCTTTTCTTGTTCCCGAGTTAGCGATCTTCGCGCCAAAACTTTCACGTGCTCGCAAGCGGGGCCCAGACGTGCGTGAGGGTTGGAACCGCGGTCCTGAGGTGGTACCTGGCTGGGGAACATACTGGCAAAATCTCAGCTTCAAAGCTTGCGTAATTAGCGAGTTGAAATACACCGACAGACGAACACACACACACAAAAACAT